CCACGTTCCTGACACTCCAAAGCTTAGGAGGCTCCCTCTCCTCTCCTCTTCTGAGCCTTCCATTCACCCGACCCTTGGAGAGGAACGTAAAAAAAGGCATCCTTGTCTGTGCCCTGCTGTCCATCACCCCTACTCCCTCCCCCAACGTGCCTCTGTCAGCTGAACTTTGTGTCCAGGGGGGAGCAAAAAGCGGGGATAAAATTATTCTCACCTCACTTACCACTTCCCCGTTGCCTGATCCCCAGCCCTCCCTTAGTTTTATTCTTCAACAGGAGTCTTCTGATCTGGGAAAGGTGAAGGGGCTGAGAAATCACTGGGGAGAAGACAGCTTGGTAGGGGCTTGAGTTAGTAAGTCAGTCCCACCAACCTCATCAGCCCCTGTTTTCCCAGCGCTTCTCCAGCCAGTGGTCCTCCTGGTGCACTCCCCTCAGTGCCTTCTCTCCGTCCTTTCCATGCCAGGTTTGGTAGGGTTCCTGCCTGGAGCCCTTAGCCACTCACCTTTCTATCACTGTGGCCTCATTATAGAAATAGGGGTGGGACTAATGGAAGCCGGGATTCCTTGCATTAGTTCTGGGAGCCCGTGGTCTGGCGATTCTGGAGTGAGATGCCACAAGGCCCAAACTCGGTTCTGTAAGCAGCAGGCTCTGGCCTCTGAGGGCTAAGTGTTTTCTCCCACTTCTCCACTTTGGATCTCAGCTGTGTGCACAGGAGTGTCCTTAAGAATACAGCAGGAGAAACATGGTCCACAGACAAGATAACCTGTTCCATTTCAGGGAAAAATAAGGTTTGGCATGTACCTTACTGGGTAGAGGAAAGGCCTTCCTTGTGCATGCTTCTTGGGGTCCAACTTCAGACTACTAGGGATGCCAATCAACTTCAGTTCGCCTGGGCGTGAAGGAGGCCCAGATACTTTCACAAAGCAGAGTTCTGTGAATCCGGTTTCCCTTCCCTTCCTTCCCTTGTTTCTCTTTTTCTATCTGTGGTATCAAGTTGCACTGACTACCAGCAAATAGTAATCGCTATTTAGCACAAATCACATCTCTTGCTCAACCAAAGAAAAAATAGTTTTCTTGGTGGTACGTATGGATCAGGGACTTGTGACCAGAGGAAGTGGATGAGTGAGATAGGGTGAGAGAGTAAACTCTTTATCAGGGACAACTACTTACTTTCTACAATGGCTTGCCTCTGCTTTTTTTTTCCCCCCGCCCCTAGACCTAGCTCCAGTGGTCTGAGGCTGTGACAGTCCTACTCTCGTGCTAGATATGAGCTGAAGTTTGGTGAAGAACCGTTAGTGCTTTGAATGCCAGCAGTGTCCGCAGCGTGGGCCAGTGGAACTTGAATGTTCTCTCTTACAGTTGCCATAGGCCTGCTGGTTGGATTATACCCACCGTCCTAAAGCATCTCACCGCAGTTATTATGATTTAAGTGCATGTTGGCCGCGATGTGATGGGGTGTGGTCTGTACCACATCCTGTGTTGTCAGCGGTCACAGATGTGTCCTGCCCCATGATGACAAGCTAAGGCATCTCTTTTGACAAAATCAGGAAATCCTTAGTAAGGGCCCTAGGGTTCCTTGATAGGTAAAGCAGTGAACCTAATCAGACTTTACATTCATTGATGAGAATGAATTGTGACATTTTTATCATTTGAATTCTTAAGTGTTGTTTGGTTCCAGGCCATATTTGTTTAAAAAATTTTTTGCTAGATTCTATAACAACCAGGCCCTAATATGAAGAACCTATGTACTGAATTAATTTTAACGACCTGTCCTGATTTATCACTTTTTACAGTGAAGGGTTGGCTTCAATGAGAATTTTCTGAGAAAAAGTGAGTGCTTACAGTATTTACATTCCTGCATTTTATCTTTGTATTTCGTTTTTAAAAAAATAATTTTATTTATTAATTTTTAGAGAGAGGAGAAAGGAGGAAGAAAGAGTGGGAGAGAGACGCTAGTGTGAGAGAAATATTGACTGGCTACCTCTCGCAAACCCCCAACCCACTATCTGCCCTGCAACCCGGGCATGCGCCCTGACCTGGAGTCAAACTGGCGACCCTTCAGTTTGTGGGACAACGCCCCATCCACTGAGCCACACCAGTCAGGGCTGTATTTATTTTGCATTTTGCAAATAAAAATTGTCCCACAACCAAGCACAAAAATTCTATGTTTGGGCAATTTCTGCTGAGAAGCTTATTGTATAGCTAGTTCGAATAACTTTGACCAATTGAAGCACAGTCCTAAACCAAAAAGGCAGCAGGCAGGTAAGACTTCTGATTCACTGGGACAGTTTCCATCAGTTGAGGAATGGAAATCCATGTATTTTACTACTATCAGAAAGAAAAAAAAGCAACCCAAGGCCTTCACTCAGAATGCATTTACTTGATTTTGCACACATGATTATAAACCTTAATTATGTTTCTCATATTATTAACAGTCTAGAAAGTGCCACTGAGGAATTCGTGGGTGACCAAAGACAAGCACAATGACATTGAAAGGATATCTAGGGTGACAGGAGGGCGGGAAACAAAAGGGACAGTGTTCTTTCTAGTCAAATGCGTCCCATTTCACTGTCTATGAAGAAAAATTCAGATTATGAATGATTTATTCTGCCTCAAAAGGCACAGAAGTGTGTAATATATTTATGAGGGTCTTTTAAAATTCAACATTGTTCAAATAAGATTTGTTTCACAACTTAAGGCGCTCTACTTCAGGTATTGCCATCTGTCCAACATTGCACTTGGACTCAGGGGAGTGTTACCCCTGAGATAACAGGAGCGCGGTAGTCCTCGGACTCTTCTGGCCCAGATCCCCGTGCACAGTGGGTGACTTGTGTCCTGAAACAGAACACAGCCCTGGTAAGAGGTCTTATGGTTTCAGCGAGTGCCCATGGGCCCCTGAACCTGCTCGGTGCCTTCCCACCATCCTCAGTGACTTGACGACATAAGCCTCCCTGAGTCCCTGGAGCTCCAGAAAACTTGAAGCCAAGATCAAGGTCAGGCACAGAGCTAGACCAGGGTGGGAGTTATTGGTGAGGAAGAAGGCTTTTCAGGAGTCCTTAAGTCACAGCCCGTCACTAGGGCCTCCTATGCTGTCTGCACTGTGCCCTACTGGGGCTCTTGTGGCTAACGAATAGACTGGAATCAGTTCCAGTTTCCTTAGCATCACTGTCACTCTAATTAGCAACGTGACTCGGGTGCCCCATGCATTTACTGCAGGTGGTGCCACACAGCCATCTGCACCAGCAGACCCAGAGGACACATGAGAGCAGCAACCATTTGCTTATGGGCACTCAGCTCATGGAAATTTGCAAACCAGCATTTTGTTATTGTTGCCGTGAGTGATGCTGCTGCTATATTATTATGACTACTGTCACTACCACTTGCTCCTGTCCTCCTTTCCCCCTTTTCTTTTTTGTAGCAGATCCAAGGCACTTTTCAGTAATGTAGCGAGATGCTGGGGTGTTCCTTAACCTTTGTTATGTGCAAAATCAATTGACAGCCAAACTGATTTAATGTTGGACAATGTGTTCTTTTCCTGGGGAGAGAAAGGCCAGGAGCCCTTGTGGCACCCACAAGCAGGTGCAGAGGGTGTGTAGAGTGTGCAGGCTCAGAGTTCAGTTTCTGCAGTTCGGCAGTGTTCTGGGTCCCGGGTTGGTAGCTGGTAACACTGAGGGTAACCGGTGTTGAATGAATAGCACTGAGCGGGGGGGTTGTGGAGGGGGAGCGGAGGCTACAGTTTCTTTCCTGAGACTGCCCTTTCCAAGGTGGCTCTTTGGTCCTTCCATTCTCCTTGGTGGGAGCAATCTGTATTCCCTTTCATCTCCCTGCCACCATTGGCTCCAAAATGACACCTCAGCCAGGAAGCCACACACAGGAAACAGGGGCATTGCAGCAGCCTATACCAGCGCCGCTCTTAAGGGCAGGGATGCAGGGCCTTTCCCACTTGGAAGCCTTGATAGACTGTTGCATGGACAGGCTTTGTAGTAGCAAATTGCTTCCAGTGCTCAGACCCCAGATTATATTTATGCAGAGCTGCCTTCTGGTCTGTGCTCCGTGGAGGGGAGTGAGCACTCCCACCTTAGACTTTGCATGGCACTGTCAGGGACGGGTTGGAGCCCACCCATTTCGTTCCCTCTCCCTGCTTGTTTTCATTGTCAGAGAAAAGATACGCCTCAAGGAGTATTTTTATTGTGGGTTTAAACTGCTATGGACTGTCAGGCTAAGCCTGTAAGGCTTGCAAGCCTGAGCTCTGGAGTCACAGGGCTTGGCTCTGTGCACCCTGATTATGTGGCCTGAGGCAAATCACTCACAGCATCTTAGTTTTCTCATCTGTACAACGGGAGTAAGAATAGTCCCTATTTCTCAGGGCCGTGAGGGTCAAATCAGTTACTATTTGGGAAGTGCATGCAAGGGCCCACGGCAGATAACACGAGCTAAACCACCTTAGCTGCAGTTGCTTGGTGTGAGAGTTATTCTTGTCTTCTTGCTTTCCTGAAGCTTTGTGCAGAAACTCAAGTCACTTCGTATAGACTTGTGCCTGAAGTAGGAGCCTAAACGGATTGATCCCCTGAAATGCAGACTCTGCAGGAGGGAAAGAATGCTTGTTTTAAAATTATTCCTAACTTTAAATGTGGGTTGGCCTTGCCCCTTAAGTATTAAAGTTAAAATAAAGGATAATAATGCCTGCATTTTTAGGTTATGAGGTTTAGAATAAAGAGCCTGGTTTATATTATATACTCACTATATAGCTGGTAGTATAATTATTATATTTTAAAGAGAAAGTCTAGGCCACCCTAAGTCATGGGGATGTGGAGCTATTTGGTGGGTCAGAGAATTGTTGAAGTTTATTGTGTTATTGAATGGTTAAGACAAAAATTTACATCTGCTTCCTAATATAAACAGTTGCAATGGTTGCTTTATTTACATATACTCTCTTTACTACCAAGGGCCTCTCTAGAACAGAATGTTAACATTTCTTTTTGTATTTTCAATTGAATGTTGTAGAAATCGGCCCTGAGGAGGAAGTGTGCGGTCTGTAAAATCGTCGTCCACACCGCCTGCATCGAACAGCTAGAAAAGGTGAGACAGCGCCACCTGCTGCAAATTTTGCTGCCTTGCAAGTGTTTGGACTTCTCAAGACCAGGTGTCAATTTCTATTTCCAACTTTTTGAAAATAGGGCCCTTTTGAAAAACTGGAAGTCCAACATTATTACCAGATTAGTAATGGAAAGACAGTGCTTAAGGTTCACTCATTCTGTTGTTTGCTGATGTCTAAGTTGATATCATTTAACCCTGGCTCTTGGAAGAAGGAACAATGAGGTTAGAGAAAAAAACCTAGTATGCACTTATTTTCTTCACAACAGCGAGCATTGCTATTCCCTCATGGAATTTCCCACAAGGTGTTTTTTCGTAAAGAAAAAAATTCCATAAGTTTTTTGAAATTATTAATCTATGGCTGAGTTTACTTCTTCCAAGAGTGACTACAAGGGAGCGAGCCAGGCCAGAAGTAGCTCTGAGTTCCTGCTCACCCTGCGTCATCCTGTGGGTGGGGCTGAAAGGGACGTAGGCTGGGGTGTCTTTCCTCCCCAGCGATGTCTGCCTAGTTCCTTTATCTGTCATCTGGGCGGGGGAGGGAGAGGATCCCATGGAGAGCTGCCCGTCGTCCTCTCCCCTCTCCCACCTCCTTCCCCAGTCCCTCCCACACGCAAGTCCCTGTGCATTGTCTGTGTTCTTGAGCTGCCTTGGGAAAAGGTGTTGGATTGTTTTAGTCTGCTGCAACATTCATTGAGTTTTACGACCACATTACCAATTGTTGCCAGTTGTGGGAATGACGACTAAATGTTTCATCTCGCCTCCCAACCCCGTTTACTCTCTCTTCTCCTTCATTTCTAAACTCCATTCTCCCGACCATGTGGCTAGAGAAGACATAAATGACTAGGAGACCTCCACATCTAAGTGAAAGGCAGCACTGAATACTCAAATAATAACTTGCGTGTGTGTGAATCATTATCATCGTATGAAAAATTTCCCAAGTTTATATTTTCCTGCTTTTAAAATCTGAAACATAGATGGGTGATTTCAGCTGCCTTACATTTTTTCCTCTGACTCTTTATTGTCTCCGTTTATCACATTTATGGTGTAAGAGCATTATCGTTTAAAGATATTTGGATCCCATCAATGACACTGAAGAAACATGGATCGGAGGTATAGACTCACTTGGGATTTCTGTAGATTATTAAGGTGATGCTTTCAAAGAGTAAGAACAGTGTTACACTTTGTTCTTCCTTCTTTGGGGGTTTTCCTTTATAGCCTCAATATCTGTCACTGTTGGTTTATTTAGGTAACTCATTCCAATCTGATGCGTATCCCTAATACCACACACTTTTCTTTTTCAATGACAGATTAATTTCAGATGTAAACCAACATTTCGAGAAGGGGGCTCAAGATCACCAAGAGAAGTGAGTATTTCTGAGCTCAAATAGCAGAGTGTTTCCGAATTTCAGAGCTCTGTCTCAAATGCCAGCTTTACTTTCCCACTGATTCACAGGGTTTATCCATATTCACAAAGAATAAAAGGCACCTCCCAGCATTTCACATCAGCTTTTTATCAGTAAATCAACAAATGCGGTCAATAAAATCTCCAAGTCTTTCCAAGGTGTGTGTACCGCCCTTCATTTTTCTTGCAGAACCTACAGGAAGCAGAGGTCTCACTGAGTGCAGCGGAGAGAAGGGGAGGGGATGGGGGTAGAACTCAGGAGGTGAGAAAGCAGTGGCATTTTATCATATTGAGGTCCAGTTTAATTCAATTTTTCAATTTTGAGTGGGTAGAAGCTACTCGGGGGCAGCATAGTTACTGAGAATTCTGTAAACAGTGGAGACAGTCTGTTTTAAAATCAGCCTTGATGCAGTGTGATTTGGGGCATCTCACCTCATTCCTCTTAATCTCAATGTTTTCATCTGACAAACAAGAAGAGAGAGAGATAGGAAAGTAGGCAGATAGATAGATAAGTGGATAGATAGATAGATAGATAGACAGGTAGATAAATAGATAGATAGATAAACAGGTAGTTGGTAGATACATACATACATACAGACATACAGATAGAGTAAACTGAACCCTGGGCTCAGTCCCCCCACCCCAACCTTGCAGTCTGGCAGTGGAGACAACCGGTACACAGGAAACCACAGAGAAAAGCAGTGCTGTGGTGTAAGTGGTGAGCAGAGACGAGGGCAGGAGCGGGGCTGCATTCCCGTGTTGGTCCAGCTTTCATTCAGATGGCAGTGTGTGCAGTCAGAGAAGACGAGAATGTTGGTGGAGGTTGTCCGCCCTCCTCTGTTACCCCTATAGTGTGGCTCGAGGCCCAAAAGGGCACTCCCCTATCCGCCAAATGATGCTTGGACCAGAATCGCCCTCAACAGGATTAGCTGCCCAGCCTTTACTGTCTCACGTGGCGCTCTCCGAAAGAGGAAGCGTGGTAAATAGACTTTTTGGAAATAGACTCTCCAACCCACTGAGTTTACTTTTAGTTATGTATCTATATTGATCTCCCTTGGGAGCCTTCCCAGCCAGTGCACTTCTCAAATTAGCTCTGTGTAGTGAGGAATAGAAGAGACAGGGAAGAGGTCACAGCCAGGGCTTCCTGGAAGAGGTGGCAGCTAACCTGAGACTCAAGGGAGTTGTCTGAGTGGGCGTGGGAGTAGTTAGGAGGTGAGTGAGCACCTTCTGTGCACGCAAGAATGTGAGGGGGAACATACCAAGGAAGACATGAGATCCCAGAGATGCGCAGAACTAGACGCTGAGGTTCTTGTCAGCCAGGCTGCAAATTGAGCATCTTATCATCACAGTCACTGGCAGCAGGAGGGAGGCATGAGTCTATTTTAAACAGAATGTATATGATTCTGGCTACCATATGAAGGGAATACCATGGAGTTCAAGAGTAGCAATATTGAAGACATGGAGGGAATTTCAGGGGCTATTTTAGTAATCCAGGCAAGAAATAATGAGGATCTGAACTGCTATGAATATTGAAATTAAGCAAAATTGATAACTATGAATTTGAAGGACACAATATTGACAGGATGTAGTGAATGGTTGGATTAAAGACAGAGGAGTCCAGAATAAACCAGGATTGTGTTTTGGACAAAACCAATTAGACGTCGGAGCATGAATTGATTCGAGGATGGAGTGGGCACATGACAAGCTTAGTTGTAGAACTCTCACATTCGGGGTGTTCTCAAGGTCCCCAGCTGGAAATGCCCCATCAAAAGCTAAAGTGAGTTTGGAGCTTATGAGGGAGATTGGGCCACCGGCAAGACATTTGTGAAATGTCAGCATGAACGGGCAGTAATTAAAGCTAGGAGACCAGGTGAAGGGGTAAAACAGGAAGAGAAGATGTCCGAGTAGATAAAGATCACTGAAGTTTTCAGCAATGTTCATGGGGAAAAAATCCCTGAAAAAGAATGATTTCGTTATTCCTAATACAAGAAGACCAGGAGAAGACATGGAAGGAGAACAGGCTGGGAGTGGAGGTTGCGAAGAGAGGCAAGACAGTGGTTCCCATCAGTTGTCCTCTCCCCCGGTTGCCTGTTATGTCCCCAATAGGAAGGCCACGGGTCATCCGCAGGCTGAGGAAAGTCTAGGAAAAATGATGGTGTCGTCCCTCCCGAGTGCAGCATAGCACTAACCAGGAGTTAACTCTGTGACAACTCCAGTGAAGGAGAAATTTCCTGGAGGACAACAGAAGGAAGAGCTTTGTGTTCTTAAGGTAGAGTTTGTGGATTACTGACCAGGGGATCCATGTGTTCCCCTTTCACTCTGCCTTCTCAAACCTCTCTCTTTCTTTCTGCATAGAAAATTACTATTGTATGTGCCGTTTTCTAGTGCAAGTATTTTTGGCTCGTTTGTTCATCTTTAGTTTTCACTAACTGTCACTTCTTGTCTATGAAGTGAGACCCTCCATAAATGTTTTGGAAACCTTCCCTTGTCTTCTCTGCAAGGACCTGATATGTATTCCTTTCCTACATTTTCACTCCTTCTTCTAGATTATTTTCATCAGCATAAACATAATAGCTCCGATCTTTAAAGAATGACAAATTAAAATATTCTTTAACCACCAACTGTGTCTTAACGGCGGCTCTGATTCTTAGTTTTGTGTTCATGCTAAATAAACTTCCATAAAGTATATTATGTATAAACAGTGTGTCCCCTCATCATTTTAACCTGTTCTGTTCTGGTTTTCACTCTCTCCACTGAAATTGCTTTTCTGATATTGCCAATACCTCTCTAATGCCAAATCCATAGATGTTTTTCTCTCTTTTTTTTTGTTATTCAGTCTTTCAAATGCATTCAAAGTGTCCTGTTCCATTCTTTTTAAATGCTCTCCTGTCTTGACATCTTTCTTCCTCATCCTCTATTTCACTAGGTAGTGCTTCCCACTGTCTTGCATTGCTCACTCCCCGCCCCACCCCAGATTTCTGCGTATTCCTCCGGGGTTGGCACTTGGCCATGTTTATGTTTTCTCTCCACCCACTCTAGTTGGAAGAGCTCGGCCAAGCTCATGGCTTTAAATATCATGTCTGGGCTGACAGTTCCTGGCTTTACAAGTCCACCCCACACATCTTCTTGGAGTTCCATTGGACATGTCCATTGAATATAATGCAATCCTCTCAAATATGATGCATTAAAAACTAAGTTTGCCCTGACTGGAGTGGCTCAGTGGGTTGGGTATCTTCTTGCAAAGTAAAAGGTTGCTAGCTCAATTCCTGGTCAGAGCACTTGCGTGGGTTGCAGGTTCGACCCCTGGTTGGGACAGATACAAGAGGCAACCGATGGATGTTTCTCTCTTGCATTGATGTTTCTCCCCTTCTCCTTCTCCCTCCCTCTCTAAAAATAAATAAATAAAATCTTGAAAAATAACCCTAAGCTCATTTCCATCTTCCTAAAAATGATTTTCTTTTGTATCTCAGAAAATGAGATGGCTATTGATCCAGTGGTTAAATCGAGAAAACTGGTTATATTGATTCCTTCTCTCATGTACTCACCACATCCAATTCATTTGCTGGCCCTATCAATTTTATTCATAAAGTATATTTTGAACCATCTTTTTCCTCCATTTTTGTTGCCTGTGCCTTCAGTGAAGGCACCGTGATATCTCTCTTTCGGCCACTGCCATAGCTTCTCCATAATTCCTTAATTTTGTCCTCAGCCTACCATGATTTAAGAGAGTGAGCACTTCAAATGAAAATTGGCTTATATCATTTTCCAGCCTTATACTCTCCAGTGGTTTCCGTAGCTCTCTGAGCCAAGCCCAACCCCTTGCCTCTGTGTGAAGAGTTCTGCATGGTCTGGCTCCAGCCTGCCTCTCCACACCCACCCATCCACCACATGGACTTCCTTTCAGTTCTTGAGGCACACATCATGCTGTTCCCCACCTTCACACACCGTATGCCATTGCTCTACCGGAAATCTCAGTGCATGGCTGGCTGTTTCTTACAGTTAGGCCTCAGCTCGAGAGTCATCTCCTCAGAGGTCTTCCTTAATGACAAAGTTCACACATTGTTCTTTCTCAGGGCACCTTGTTCTGCCCCATTCAGAGCACTTTATATGTCATCGTTATTTACACACATTACTCATTTTCTTGTTTGCTGTCACTCTTCTCTAGCATAAGTTTGGGAGGTCACTCATGGCCCGTGTCCCAAACTCATTGTGCCAGGATGTGGACGATGTGATCAACAAGTATCTGGTGCCTGAATGCATTTATGAAGGTGTCCACGTCTCCCAAAAATGTTCAAAAGCTCTTGGTCTAAGAGGACAACATGAAGATGGAACTCATGATAGACTATGACCCATTTGAGGCTCTTACTTAAGAGACCTTAGGTAGTTAATCATTGCAAATGAAAGAACAGTCACTTTAGAATTTGTCTGACCTGGGCCCAAGTGACACCTCTGCTTCTTTTGCACTCTGTGGAGTCTTGATCCAGAGCAGGGATGCAGAATAGGGATGCAAAGTGGGGATCCAGGGTAGGGATGCAGAGCACGGATCCAGAGCAGGGATGCAGAGCAGGGATGCTGAGCAGGGATGCTGAGCAGGGATCCAGAGCACAGATTGATGATCACTGTACCCTGCACTTGAAGAGTATCTGACACGCAAGTTTTTTCATGAATTTTTCTTGGACACCACCTCTCAGTAGAATTTTTGTGGAAGTCACCCTTCTTAGACATAAGCTATATGGATGGAGTTATAATCTTAGGATCCTTTCAAGTGTTTTATGAATAATTTTATGCATTGAACTGACTGAAAATAACTGAGCAATTGTATTATGCATTTCTCTTAATAATACTGAATATAAGCCCTGAAATATTGTGTCACTGAGATTTTAACACCCCTAAGTAATAGCCCTTTCTTTACAGTATTTAAAGACAGTATATGAATAATTCAGAGATTATTGAATCATAAATATAACATAAACACAAACAATATGATTATATGGTATCAGAGGCCTTACTTGGCTATTTTAATAAGTAAGCACTTAATAAGAGTGTTTGGCTATCAGCACTCTTATTTGCCATGTAAGAATCCTGACTCTAATTCCAGTTCGATAATTTAGGAGATGTAAATAACTATCAAAAGGGGGCAGTGTGAAAATTCAAGTTCTTGGGAAATAAAGATTAGAAAATAGCAGTGATTCTATAGATCTTTTTTCCTAGTTGATAAAGGCAATTGGTGACCCATACAAATGGCAATTACATGATCTAATCACCAAAGAAATTAGGTTGAGAATTCCATTCAATTCAAACCATATTTGTTAAATGTTTGCTTTGCTCAAACTATGTTTACTTGGTGGAGGAAATTACATTAGGCCTGAGAAGATCTCTGGACAGAAGGTGGTTGACACCTCAAATTGCAGAGCTATAGGTTGAGGGCAGTTGCTCAGTCTCTCCTACGGTATATACAGTATGTGGTACTGCATGTATTTGGTATAGTAACTGGTATTTTCTCCTCCAGTGCTTTTGTTCAAGTTACTTTATCTTACTATGACTTCGTTTTTTTTAGGCTCCTATCTATTTCCTAGGAAGGATGATATTAAACATATTTAACCACTTATAGTCATATATATTAATATGTAAATAATTTCATAATGTTCTTTTATTCCCCAAGTAAGTTAAACTACATGGTATTATAGATCTGCTTACCAAACACTATGTATTTCCACACGAATGATAAGTTAGTCTTATAATTTCCAAGCACTTATTGACTTGTGGCCATTGTTGGTTTAGTCTTTTGAGCTCAGCTGTCAGCAGCTATATCGTCCCGGGAGTTAGCCATAATTTCACGTGGGTAACTGTCCAGTTCTTCCAACGTTTCTTCCTGAGGTAGTCATGAAGTGATTTATAATGCCAACAAGTACAGAATTTCTCTTACCATCAACAATATTGCTCATTCTCCCTAGTTTTTGCTAAACCAACAGCAATTGCAATAAATTTTCACGTCCCTTGTAACACTGTCTGACACTTATTTCCACTACTGACTGTCACCGAAGTCATTTATTGAAGGAGCTCGACTCCTATCTTTCTGAGCAGAGTGGAGGCACAGGGACACAGTGTCTGAGAGCAGCCTGCAATGTGATTTGTTGTCAAAGGAGAGCTCATTGAGAATGAATCCTGGAGAGCTGCTATGTAAAACATTCATGTTTCTGTTGCTTCATAATGAAGCAGTGGGAATGCTCTGCAGTGCTGAGGGGCTTGGTGGTAGGATGCTGTGGTATATAGTTCAGGAGGCACCAGGGCATGCGAGGGGCACCAAGTTGTAATCTACCCACCAATATTGGAATAGTTCAGTATTTAACAGCTCATAGGACTCAACTGGTACCTACCAAGTAAACACCACCTCTGTTGTCTTCATGAAAATGGAAAGAATTACCACATGTGAAATATTTTAAAGAATACTTGGCACACAGTACTCAACAAATGTTAGCTATTATTATTATCGGCTCCCTTCTGAGAATATAGATCTCTCTATATGAATTATGTTTGTGTTTTATTAAACTGCCGCTGTGAGAAAAGCAAGACAAAAATTAGACTAATTAGTGAGACCATTATGCTCCTTTTTCTCTTATTATAGTTAAAAGCCTCCAGGATCTTTGTTTAGCTTTAATTTAAATTGATTTGGCATTATAGAGAGAAATAGAGGTGGCATTTTGGAATTGAGAATGTTAATGCTTGTTAGGGGTGTTTTTGGCACTCTGAATTTTGTCCCTTGTTATGATTATTTTTTTTCCTCAGTGCTGATCGATTTGCTGTGTTCCTCTGTACCTAGAACAGTGCTTGACAGACAGCAGGTGTTTAGTATTTGTCAAGTGACTGAATGTATTTAAAAAGGCCTTTTAAAGAGAAGGCAGAGGTGACTTGACAATACCAGACACGTTAACCTCAGGTAAAGTATGCTTTCTCAGAAGGGGGCAGGGGAGAAAACAGTAGCAGGTATTTTAGGTGTACCGGCCTAGGAGGAACAAATTATATAGGTTATAAGGGTTTCCCTGCAACGTGCCTTAGGCCTGCGGACAACTTTCCTATGATGTGCCCTTCCCCAGAGCAGTGCTGAAGGGCTCCTTGACCCTCTGCCCCAGGAGTGATTGTTTGGAGTGAAGAGACTTTCTGGGTTTCCTGTAGCTCAAGACAAGAATAGACCTTGAAAGCTCATCTTGTCTGGTTCTGAGAACCCAAGGACACTCAGCGCTCCGTGTCATTGCAAAAATGTCACAACATGCCCGTGTCTCTTGTCCTTCTCATCTCTTTCCTTCACCTTTTCTCTTCCCTCACTTTCCCTGGCAGCAGATTCTCACCATCTCTGTCCTTAATCAGGAGATCTACTTTGATCCAAGACTTCATTTTTTGTAAGTGCTTTGTAGCTCAGATGTTGAGCATGGTGCCTCCCTGGCATATAAAGAAACACTAAAGACATATTTGTTAAAAAAAAATATATATATATATCGGACATTGTGGTTTCTGCTTCTCTTCCTCACTTTTTCCCTCCTCTAAGGGTCTTTCTTGGACCCGCCTCATTGCCTCCCTGCTCGAGGCCCCTGACCTTTTCATGCACAGAGCTCTGCACAGGGTCTTCCTAGGAGGCAGGCAAGTAGAGAAGCAGCAACCTGCTGTGGCCGTGTGTCACTGGGGAGACCTGGAGGATGGACGGAGGTGACGAACAGCTATGGATGGAGACTCGGCTTCCTTCCTCTACGTGGATTCATGCTCATGGTTAAATGAGTCACACGGGCCCATATTTGGTTTGTGTTACTGTGCTTGTCGATGATGGTTTATGAAAGCTCTATTCTTAAAACAAGAAACACAACTAATATCGGGACTCGCACATTGAAATGGATTCATTGTATTTTGTTTTTCCACAGAATTTTGTGCGTCATCACTGGGTGCACAGGCGTCGGCAGGAGGGGAAATGTAAGCAGTGTGGGAAGGTAAGGGGCCCGGCACCCACGGGGATGCGGGGGGGGGGTGCCTTGGGCTTTGTGAGCACCTGAGCTAGATGAGTACATCACTGCCCTTCTGAACAGCCGTCTTTCTCTAAGACCTCTTTCCTGAAGAGCTGTTTCAGGACTCACTGCAAGAAACAAGAAGTCTTAACACAAGGCCTGAGCACATCTTAAGAGAGATGGATACATTTTTGTGGTGGATTTCATTGTTGATAGTTTCAAAAGCAACTCTTCCTATGTTAACACTCCCTTGTAAGGACTACTGGCCCACCATACTTCTTTGATCAGCAACAGAAAATCACTGGGTTGCTGAGTAACACTGCTTTTGTTGACATATTATTGTGGTTGAGCAGAAACACAGCATGAAAGCAGGAAATGTGTGGCTTCCTTAGGATATTATCCAGGTCCCAGAAAGAGATGCCCTTCTCATTCGTGGTTATTTATGTCTCTTGTCTCCCTTGGTATGACTGGCATGTTATAGAGCCCCGTATTCTACATGATATTGACCCCAATAGATCTGGGATAGGGATTTTTTTAATGTACAAAGATACATTTTAGGAATGGAAGGCCCCTCTGGGAAGGTTAAACTTCTGGTAAATCACTCTACAAAGATATTTTTCTCCAAGTGATATCACTAGTGAGCTGGACTAAGGAAAGGGGCATTTCGATTTGATAGAAAGCAATATAATTTGGGAGAATATACCCCTCATCAATGAACAATTCCTAATTCATTTATTTATTCATGTGACCCATTTGGGTCAAGTGCTGTGGTGAGCTGACCAGTGTAACATTTTTGACAGTAGAAAGATTCAAGGAACTGTTGGCCACCTGATGTAGGGGTGTTGAGTGTGAGTGAGACTTGGAAAAAGTCTCATTTGTTTTTCTGTTAGCACAGTGTCTTGGAAGAAAATAAGATGCTGTAGCCATTGGTTCCTGAGTTCTTCTGTGGAAGGCTGCACACCTCACGCTCGAGGCTGCGCCCTCCCTGTAACCAGTATTGTCTTCTCCAGTTCAGCGCAGAGACTCTCCCTTGGCTCCGGTCTAGCCTGTAAAGAGAACAGATGAAGTAGTTTGAAAGCGGGAGGAGGGAAAGGGAAGAGGAGCAGGAAGGGGGAGTAGAGTGACCCTCACCAGCTGTTTTGCATGGCTGTGGATAAGGAGGTCGGCCCTGCACTCTCGGGGACTTGCCTTCCCCAGTGCTACTCACCCCTTTTCCTTTCGGTGTTGCCTTGCAGGTTATGGGTCTACTTGGACGCAGTGGGTTGTACACTGTCTACAAGTGACCCACAAAAGTGTGTGTGTGTGTATGTGCATGCATGTGCAAGTGAGAGAAGAAACTGATAGGCACAGCCCATTTTGAGACGGGAGATGTGAAGAGTGGGAAGGATTTGGATGACCAGGTTCTGCACTTCAGCCTAGTGCCTGTCCCCCCTACCCCAACAAATGTCGGGCTGTAGTAGAGGTAGAGGGACATCTGAAAGAAAATCCATGAACATTCTATATTTTGTCATGAGTCTTCCTCAGTGTCACGGTATACTCCCTTCTTTGGCTTCATCGTCTGCTGTCATGGTCAGCTGAATGGGATAGCTGGACTCGCTGGACTCTGAGTTGCTGTGACCATGACTTTCCTGCCCAGTGTTCTTGGGCAGCCACCTTGGCATCTTGGAGTGTTCCCGGCTCTCGTGGGGGAGTTCATGGTCCCAACTCCTCACATAACATTCCTATAATATACTGGGTTGGCCAAAAAGTTTGCTTAGTTTTTTTCCATAAGATCGCTCTGGTAGTGTTTGTCTGTAACTTCATTCGAAACAATTTTCTTAGATTGTACTGTGGCAACTGTCATATCAATGTGCATTTTTAAAAAACTTCATCAAAATTGGTGAATTTTTATGTAGCCATTTTAATGTTGAAGATGGAAGAAAATACACAGCATTTTGAGCATACCATGCTGTATTATTTCAAGAAATGTAAAAATGCAAAAAAAGGTTTGTGTGGTGTATGGAGAAGGTGCCGTGACTGATCAAATGTGTCAAAAGTAGTTTGTGAAGGTTAGTGCCAAAGATTTCTCACTGGACAATGCTCCATGGTTGGGTGGACCAGTTGAAGTTGACAGTGATCAAACTGAAATGTTAATTGAGAACAATCTGTTATACCACGTGGGAGAGAGCCGATATACTCAGAATATCTAAATCAATAAAGTTATTGGCGAAAATGATAAAAATGTGTCTTTTATTTTTATAGAAAAAACTGAGCTGAGTGTTTGGCCAACCCAATATACTATCACATTCATCTCCTGTGTTTATAATCCAGCTGCTCATGAATTCCCAGAGACTCACGCAGCTTGGACACGGGGTTGTCTCAGATCTGCATCTCCTTGGTGGATAACGGAGAGCCCTTCTTTGGACCCTGGCTTCTATCCTGGATTAGAGGAAAGCTATAGCTTGACTTCCATTTACAGGTTAAGTGATTGAAAAATCCATTCCAAACTTTGGTGCTATGCATAATTTTCATTGGTGGAGTTGCACATTCTCACATATCCAGAGATCTTTAAACCATTTCCCATACACATGTACCTGGAACATATGATTCTATAATTTACCCACTGGGATGCAGTGAAAAAGAATCATTTTCACTTATCCAAACTTTTTTCCAATGAGTGGTTTGCAGACTTTTGGGATTGTTAAGGAGTGTTTATGGTTAGAGAATATTTGGAGTTTCTATTTCTACTTTTAAAGTCAGCAATGAAGTGAATATTTGGACTGATTTTCCCTTGAGCCTTGACTAGGTGACTGACCGGCTGCATGTGTGTGACATTGAATGGTCGTCAGATGAGAGGGCTCACAATTCCCTGGTTCAGTCGCCTTAACATTTGCTGAATATCACAGGCTGCCGTGTTTAGGACTATCACAGAGCTTTACAGTATTTTCATTCATTGTTTTATGTAAGAGTCAGGGTTAGGCAGGAAAGCAATGGCACACTCACACTGAAATTATGTAGTCTGATGAGCATTTAATAAAGAGAATATTTAAAGTGTGTGAGCAGAGTGCAGCAAAACCCCAAGAGTGGAGAGCCCCGAGGCTAGTCCCTGCAGTGAGCTGTGGGCACGTACAGTCTGAAGAGGCAGGCGGAGGGACAGCGCCCTGGGAGACTCAGGCAGCCAGTCTGGGAGATGAGCTGGGGTAAATATTCCAACTTCCGTCCTTCAAACTCTAGTGTGCAAACCCAGTAGAAAGCAGACCACAGGGGACACTGCTGAAATGGTCCATGAGAACCCACATTCAGAACAGGACCGGGGGTGGGGGGCAGTGGGAGGGATGCAGCAGGTGCTGTTCAACCTGGAGCTCTGCTCCACACACGAGCGGAAGCAGGACGCATGCTACTCTGCAAAGGGGCCTCTTCATGAGCTTTGCCCAATTCAGTCACAGTCCTTGCAACACAGAGGTGTTCACCCTAGTTGAAAAATCACTAGGCGAAGGAAAAATCTTGCCATGATTTTAGCTAATGGGACCTTTTATTTTTGAAGGAACCAAGCATCTAAACCCACCACTGTGGTTGATTGTAGAAATAGGCGTGTCAACCACAATTTGAAAACATATCTTTTTTTAAAAATTTATTTAATTATTGTTCAAGTACAGTTTTCTGTTTTTTACTCCCACCCCAGCCCACCCACTCAGTGTCTTTGTTTTTATTTTGCTTGCTTGTTTGTTTTGTTGTTTAGCTTCCTGTTAAAGGTGAGATCATATGGTATTTGTCTTTCAACACCTGGCTTATTTCACTCAGCATAATACTTGATCCAGTAATTCCACTGCTGGGATTATATCCTAAGAACCCTAAAACACCAATCCAAAAGAATCTATGCACCCCAATGTTCATAGCAGCACAATTTACAATAGCCAAGAGCTGGAAGCAACCTAGGTGCTCATCAGTAAATGAATGGATCAAAAGATTATGGTACATATATACAATGGAATTCTATACAGCAGAAAGAAAGAAGGAGCTCCTACCCTTTGCAACAGCATGGATGGAACTGGAAAGTATTATGAAAACTTATCTTTTATTTCCTCACTTAGAAACATATAGACAAGTTACAAAAATAAATGAGCTAACGCTTTGGAAGTGAAACATTGAATCTTGAAAGCAGTTTTGAATGCAGCGACACACAGACTCTGGTCTGCCTGGGCGATGCCCTCCGGAGGCCTAACCAAACCCGCCACATCATTATGCACTGCTCGTCCGTAAATCATACGTACTTTCATACACAATTAAGTAAATTAAACAGCATGTAGCATTAATTAAATGGGAAAATGTCAAAACGACTCTTTCTTCTAATGAATATTGTTGAGAAGTAATTTAAAATGAACTTACAGAGCAGCATTCAAAATACACATCATCTCAAGGAGGTATACGTCCTAGCATTTTTGTAATGCAAAAATGACACCGTGATTAAGAACATTCCATGGGGTGCAGTTGAGACATGAATAGCGAAAGGGATTGCAGAGTCTGAAAATAATGAAAAAGAAGAACCTGGGGCTTTGGGAGATGTTTTCTTGTCAGTTTAAAGCACTGGTCTGTACTGATCTGAAAGCGTGTGTGCCCTGGAGGTCAGCCTGGTTAGGGACCAGGAATGGAAGTTCAAGGGTGAGGATCCATGCCCTGGACAGACAGGTTTGCTGATTTGCCTGTTTGTGTACGTCCATGTAAAACAGAGGACTCTCCTGCCATCAGCCCCAGGAGGGTCGCTGAGGGTATAGAGAGGGTCATGTGACAAGGACAAGGACCCCAAGCCTCTCTGTGGAGAGGCCCTGCCAGCATTGCCGTGGGGAGCCTGGCTGTCCTTCCTGTCTTTGACTGAGTATCAAGAAAGGGGTCAAGGCCAACGGCCATTCTATGCCCTGCTCCCATGAGTTGGCTATCTTCGATTCTTCATATAAGTAGCATCATGCAACATTTGCCCTCTGCATGTGTTTTATTTCACTTCACATCCA